ATATTGCAATCTTGCGCTGCTACTGCTTGCACTGTAAATGTTTACGTCGCATCACGTCGCAGCAATATTTATATCGGTGAACAACGATCTATTTGGTAAAAATTGACAATGAATAATACACACCTGTTTTGCTATTTGTATAGCTAATTATGTTCTTTTATAACAAGGATCATTATTTTACAAGACATGAATATGTTCCGTATTCTTTCAGGCGCGTGTCGCTAATAAGAGATTGTTATCATGCATGCAGACGGAAATGACGTTCGACAAGCATATTCAAACGAATTCCGACGTTACAAAGAAAAAACATGACATTCCAAACTCTAAAAAAAGATGAACAGAAATTAATCAACAGCATTCGACAGTATCGAGTGCCGCTGCGCACTTGCACCATCGATAGCGTCTCTTCTCCGAACTGTGCGCGCAGTTTACGTAAAATTTCGACGGCTCTAACATTTTTATTTGCAAGAAACTTTATCACACATACACACACACACACACACACACATACACGAATCCTGATCAACGCCTAACATCAAGTTGTACGACACTAGGGTACTATTTGTTCGGATATTTTAACGACGGATACAGAAACAACTGTCGCGAGTCCACAACTATGTAGTGCATAAATAATCCGCCCTCCTTCTTTAGTGTAAGTACATCTAGCATTGTTGACTTGTATTCACAAAAAATTCTTCATATAAGATCCATGTATTTGTTTCTCTCTTAAGATATATAATTACTGAACTCTAAAGAGTAAAAGAATGCAGCTTTTTCATATCCGGATACTACGCCATTTTGGTCTGCCACTTTTCCTTGGAGATCTGAGACTAAATACAGAAAATTATCATTTCGCGCGCGGTTTGATTAACTGATCGCATTAGCGTTCGGCGGAAGGACTATGCCGATGATTAATTCGGACAGAGAACATCGATATCGACGTGCATGCTCGTGCACTCGTTCCCCATAATGCGTTTCTCCCGTTCTCGTCTTATTTTCACTGGCCGGCTGGTGATATGCGGTCGCGTAACCGATAGTCGACTTCGCGGATCATTAGGCATTTCCTCCATGTTACATCGGTGATGATGAGAACGCACGAGCGGGAGATCGAGCTGCTCGGGATATCTTTCTGCTCCTTTTCCAAAGTGCGATTAAACTACAACGTGTGTCTATCGCGAGATGACGATCGCATCAAGAAACCTGTTAATTACTTCGTCAGAGATAATAAATGTGTATCTTTTTCCGACAGTGTTTAACTAACTTCGGCTGATGATTCGCTGTCCCTCAACTCTCTTATGTGTTAGATTACGGTTACGTAACATTATTGTCGATGCACAGAAACAGAAGAAAAATTTAAATTTAATTAACTAAAATTTGTACTTGTAGTTAAAAACGCGATTAGTTAACGCTAATCTACTTCAACGCAACAGTTTTACGTAGCCACAAAATCATTGCTCATTGAAGAGTCAGTTCCGCCGGTGTAATCGAAACAATCACGCGAAGACAGAACAGTCCCATAAGCGAACGCGAGCTAACTTTAATTGTCGCTCATTCAAGTATGATTGAGTGTACGTTTTCTCAAACGTTAGTTCCCGTGTTGTGTCTATCGCTAAAAAGGAAGAACGACTCATCAGGGCCACTGTACTCAGCCGTATTATCCCGGCGGCTTCTTCATATTCTACTAGCCGCAAATATCGGGTCGACTGACGACTACGTTGCGACGTGGATAAACGGTTACATGTAAAGCTCGTGTTCGACCGTCTTCCGGGTCTGGAGGAAGTTCGTCGACGATTTAAGCGTAGGACGCCTTGAACTCTTGTCCGACAGTCGATAATCGTTAAGCCACACGCGAATTCGCGTTGCGCATTAGCGCTTTTGAAACATCGCGTAGCGTTTACCGAGTTGCGTCAATGGTAAATTGCGGGCGTGGTGTCATTACTCGTTTATACAATGATAATATTCTCGGAATTATGGCATAGCGCAATGTGTATTTTAATCATAAATAAAAAAGGCGTAATGTTCTGAACGTTTTAAACGTTCTGAAGAAGATGGAAAAAAAGATTCTCATGTCTACTACTAATTTTAAAAAATTAAAAAAATAATCAAGTATTATTTTTTACAAAAAGAGATATTACACCAAATACTGAAAATGTTACATGTATGCTCTGTATTAATATCGTTAAATGTGAAAAGATAGCCATTAAATAAGTATTTATTTAAAAAATTAACCGAATCGAACAATTAGCATTAAAGTGAATTAAGTTAATAGCAATGATATCTTCTTAATGACTTTAATATATTGTACTTGAAATATTTTTGTATTTATTTTGCATCTCTAAAACATAACATGAGAGTCTTTTCCCTTACAGAAATTTAATGCCAGAAGATAGTGATTAATTACTTATTAAACACTGAACAATAGTGATACTCAAAGTAGACAATTAATCACTATCTTTCAGTTGAATTCACTATTGAATTGGCCAGTTATTATTTTGAATTTCTGTAAAGAGTATCGAAGAATGATTACAACTAATCTAAATATTGTAGGCGGCCTACGAACGAGATACCAGCGGAAGTACTTTCTAGGATACGTCCGATGATTCTGCGAACTTTCACTGTGGAGAAGATCCACCTGGGAAAACTGAAAGTCATATCGCGAATGATCACGATTTTCTCACGGCGACTCTCAAAGGCATATACTCGTCGTTTGCATTGTCCGATTTAGGATAAGAACGGTCTATACGCAGATCATCAACTTCCGACTTTCCCTGTCATTTTAATCAAAATGTTTACGGACGTATAATTTAATAATGTAGAAACTAATTTAATAATTTATTTAATGCTGACCGTCGATCGGCTCGAAACGTGTTGATCGTGAAACAATATAATTTGCCATATCGTGATCAGTCGACAGCCACTAGACGATACTTAACATTCAACTGCGTTCAACTACAGATCCGTGATAATTGCCACAGCAGGAAGGAAGATTACGCAAGCCCGAGCCCGACACATAGGCGACTTCTCCGATAAATAAGAAGAATGTTAATCTCTGTCACCGATTAAACGATTTATTCCACCCGGCCTCTAATTGGATCGATGCGTTATAACGTCAGCCAATTAAAAGCAAATGTTTGTATCATATGTAACGAACATCCGACTCATGCATACGCTCCTACACGAGCCGCTGCTATGCGATCGTATTAGTACCACGGCATCATGGATCGCAGGGAGAATTTTCTCTCACGCGGCTCCAAAGATATCCCTCTGCTCGGCATCAACTCGGTTCTGGAGTATCCGCGATCGGCGCTACTATGCGTCTCTAAAGTGGACCGGTTTGTGCAGCAGCATCGACGACGGCG